AAATAATAAATTACACAATTTGGTTAGAAATTTTTTACCAAATCACAAAATTGATATTGCAGTCGAAATTCCCATATTTGGGTAAATCAGTCAATTCACATGATTTGAGTAATTAAGGTATCTTAAAAATGAATTTGTCATAAGTGATTATTTGAAATATATCATAAATTGTTAAATTAATTTAAGTATTTAAGGTATCTTAAAAATGAATTTTTATATGACTTAATTATTTCCTTAAATAATGAGCCGCAATTTCCATAAGTGATTATTTAAAGTATACTATAAATTGCTAAATTAATTTCCCAAAATAGTAAATAGATTTTTTTTAAGAAAAATAGTTACTATTTAAAAAATAATCAAACCTTTATATATATATATAGATATTTTGGCAATAGTCGCTATAATATGGACATTTTTTTGTAGATATATTTATTGACAATAGAAAAATTAATTACAAAATTTCTTCTTTTAGTAATTTTTTATTTTTTTGGAAAAACACATACTACTTTTAGTTAATGATTAACTTTTATATATTTTCTCTTTTTGGCAAGCTAAGACCAGCTTCAATCATTTACTTTACTCTATTGTAGAGTTTACTCGACTCTAGAATAGAGAATGCCAAAATTTAACTTTCGTCTCCAACCATTTGCGCTATATTTTTTACTCTACATGAAATATACTAATACAAAATAAAATTTAAATACAACTATAAATCAAAATTTTAAGTTATTTAAAAAAAATAAATATTTTTATTAATGTATATTTTATCAAAATAATATTTAGAAATAAAAATCATTTTCAAAACTAAAATTTGAAAAAAAAAAAAAAATTGTAGCACGGTGAATAGTACTGCATTACATATAACGCANTCATTAAAAAAGCTCGCAACATGTACAAATCGTACAACCAAATGGTTGAAGGAATCTACTTCACAATCTGAAATAGACCCTTACGGGGCAATCATGCCAGATTACCCCTAACTGCTTCACATGCAAGCTTAGTACTAAGAGTACATACACTACCACCAAAAATAAAGGAAATAAACACATCACAAGAGTTAATATTACATATGTCTTGAAACTGTGTCATAGCATGTGGAGAAAAACCCGTGCCCGATATTAATTTTTGCAGTAAGTCCTTGCACTTTACCATGCACACACATCTAATCCATTCTCCCTCTTTGGCTAGAGTCAGTCCCCATTTAATGCCTCTCAAGTGAGTGATTTCAGCATCCCCCTTGGTTATATCAGTCTTTGCCGAAGTTTTGATGATCTGCTCTTGTTTTCTGAGCACACACCCGAACCCTACATTACCCTAAGCTGAGATGTAAGTACTGATAGCCATAGATAGCTTTTGTTCACTCCAATCTCCGGTTCCTCCTCTTCACTGTCCTCATTCCCTTGAGCCAATCTAATCAATCTGCCCAGATCTTTCTTCCTTGGGTTAGCTGTCTGAAAATCATTCCATGCCCTCATTGCTCTCTCAACTAAAGCTCTGTCAGATAATTGCTCTTTTGAAAACAACCATTCATTTCTTGCCCTCCATAATCCCCATACTAAATAGGCAGATAGACTCACCCTTTCCTCCATTCCATCCAAACCCTTACAAGTGATAATCTCTATCCACCATTTTCTAAAGTCCCCTTTTCCAGTCTGCAGCATCTCCCATTCCAACCCACTTATCTTCCAGCATCTAACAGCTTTTTCACATTTGAAGAAAATGTGGTTTAGATCTTCTTCTTCTAGCCCACAAGTTGCACACATACTTCTCACATCCATTCATTTCCTTCTTAAGTTTGATTTTTTGCAGCAAGAAAATTGAACCATGCCCTCCACAAGAAGTTTTTGATCTTGCCATGCACATTGATTTTCCAGGTGGCCTTCCACATTTGAGAGATCCTATCAGCTTTAGAACAACTACCAGAGCTATGTTGTTGCTTAAGTGCTTGATTCTTCAGTATGCTAGTATAAGCTGCTTTCACTGAAAACTTCCCATCAATACCCCAGTGCCACACCCATTTATCACTGTCAGCTATGTTCTTCAAAGGGATTAGCAAGATGATACCTGCATCAAAAGGATGAAAAGATTGCAGAACACAATCCCTATCCCACTCTTTACCCCCAGGCAGCATAAGATCTTTAACTTTGCTCAGTCTACTATCATCTCCCTGCAAACAACACTGAGGCCTGAAACTAGAATTATTAGGGGGATCTTTCCATATATAAATAGAGGCCCCATCTCCCACCCTGTACCTCAGCCCTATTTTCAGAGAATCCCTAGCAATCAACCAGCTCCTCTAGAGCCAAGAATCACTACTCTTACCCCAGAAATATCTACCCTTAAGCAACCTGCTAACCAATAAATTAGGCTTAGTAATGATCCTCCATAGTTGTTTAACTAGGAGTGCCTCATTAAAAGCCTTTAAATCCCTGAACCCTAACCCCCCCCAGATTTAGGCTTAGCAATTTTATCCCAAGAGGCCCAGTGTACCTTACTCCCTCACTGCTCATTTTTGCCCCACCAGAAAGTAGCCAAAGCTTTATTCAGGTCTTTGATCACAAATATAGGGATCCTAAAGCATGACATCACAAACAGAGGGATAGCCCCTTGCACAGATTTGATCAATATATCCTTACCAGCCTCACTCAGAAAAACAGCCTTCCAACTCTCAGTTTTTTCTTTAATTTTCTCGCTCAAGAAGTGAAATACCTCTCTTTTAGATTTTCCAATTCCTAAAAGAAGCCCAAGATACCTAGAGGAGGTAACCTTTGAGATTTCATTTAAGATATGGCAAATGTCTGCTGTCAAATCATCAGGGGTATTTTTAGAGAAGAAAATTGAAGATTTGCCCAGGTTAACCAACTGACCACTATCATTCCCATACACACCCAAAAGATGTAAAATAAGCTCAGCATGGTATCTATCAGCTTTGCAGAACAAGATAGAATCATCAGCAAAAAACAGATGTGAAATCATAGGAGCTTTCAACCCTACTCTAAGACCCTTAAACTCCCCCCTCAAACAAGCCTTCTGAATCAAATTAGACAGAGCCTCTGACACAATAATGAACAGGTAAGGGGATAGAGGGTCCCCTTGCCTCAGACCTCTAGAAGGTTGCACAAAACCACAAGGCATGACATTGACAGAAAAAGAATAAGTAGCAGTACAAACACAAGCAAGAAGCCAGTTAATGACTTTAGAACAAAAACCCATTTGCCTATAGACCCTAGCTAAAAAATCCCATTCTACCCTATCATAAGCCTTAGCCATGTCAATTTTAAGAGCCATGCCAAAATTTTTACCCTTCTTTTGCTGTTTCAAGTAATGGATGCATTCATTAGCAATTACCACATTGTCAAACAGTTGCCTCTCAGGAATAAATGCAGCTTGATTATGAGAAATGCACTCAGATAGGACAGATTGAATTCTTTTAGCAAGAATCTTTGCAATAATTCTATAGACAACAATACACAGGCTTATTGGTCTATAATCAGTAATAGCAGTAGCATTGGACTTCTTTGGTATCAGAGTAATAACAGTGTGGTTTATAACCCGTTGGCATTTTACCAATTTGAAAAAAAAATTGGATGGCAAGACATAAATGATTCTTAGTAACATCCCAGGTTTTTTGGAAAAAACACGCAGTAATTCCATCAAACCCAAGAGCCTTACCCTCCTCCATTTCCATCACAACCTGCTTTATCTCCTCTTCTTCCACATCCCTGCAAAGCATCATGTTCTGCTCCCTAGATACAGCTTCATTAATCCCAGTCAAATCACACAAATGAGAGACAGGTTGAGAAGATTTAAACAAATCAGCATAGTAATCAACAATAACCTCCTAGATGTCATGGCTATTATTACAGGCACACCTATCTTTCTTCACCAAATTATCAAGGGAATTAAACTTTCTTCTTTGCTTAACAGAAGCTTGAAAAAATTTTGTATTCTTATCCCCTTCTTTAAGCCAAGTAATTCTAGATTTTTGGTGCCAAAAGGTTTCTTCCTTAGAGTAAGCCAAGTTCAATAAGGTTTTACAGTTAAGCCAATCACCCCAATCTTTATCCCCTCCTACCTCTTCCAACTCTTCCATTTTTTGCTTAAGATTAACAATATCCTTAGCAGAGTTAGATTTATTATCAGAATTCCACTTAAGCAAAGCCACCCTCACCCTCCTGATTCTAATCTGAATATTATACAACTCAAAACCCTCAGCTCTTTTGTTCCAAGCACTGTTAACACATTCAATGAAGCCTTCCCTCTTCACCCATCTAGCATCAAAATGAAATCTTTTCTTCTTCAAAACAGACAGTATTAGGATCTTCTAGCAACACTATACTGTGGTCAGATGCAATAACAGGAACAGTTTTAATCTGGTAGTTAGGGAATTGCATAGCCCAGGCAGGGGAAACTAAAAAACTATCAAGCTTCTCCTCTACAAAATCACTCCCCTTCCTTCTATTAGACCAAGTAAAAAGGTACCCTACTAACTGAGGTTCAACTCCACCCAGCCTCCTAATAAGATTTCTAAAATCTTCAAAACTAGCCCTCTCTCTAACTCTACCCCCTCTCTTCTCCTGATTGCTAAGAATGTCATTAAAATCCCCCCTTATAAACCAAAACTTCTATGTCTCAACAGCACACCCCACTACCCTAACCTCTCCACAGGATTAGTACTAGCATAAACAAACACCCCACACAAACAAACAACATCATTTTTCCAAGAGAATTTAACAACAATCCTAAAATCTAAACAAGTAATCCCCAAAACAGTAACATTTTCAGACCAACATAAAAGCAATCCTCCCTTAGTATTAATGGGATCCACATAAAACTATCTATTATCTACCTTAAGCTTCTTACACACAACATTAACAAAACATTTTTTTTTTTTTTTTTATTAACAAAACTTTTTTTTTGTTTCTGAAAGAAAGGTAAAATCTGGGAGGTGATCCCTAAGGACCTCCTTTAACTGGGAAATTGTAGAGGGTCCCCCCAACCCTCTACAATTCCACACCATAGCTTTCATTGGACACTTTGGGACCAGTTAGGGCTGGTTTCCTCCACCTCAAAATCATTTGGATTTTTGGAACATTTAAGTTTTTTCTTATCTGGCTTTTCTAACAAAACATCAGAAGTTTCAGCAATATTTATGATTTGTCTCTTCTTTTTCAAAACAGAATTAATAACATTTGACTCCACATGAATTTCAGGATCCACTAACATATTATCAAATTTGATCACAACTCCCCCTCTGGGTTTCCTCACCACAACTTTCTTTTTTCTCTGTAGAACTTGACTTTCTATGTTACCCGGGGTAATACTCACATCCACTAAATGTGGATCAGTTTCCTTAAATCAATGACAGAAGTAAACTGGTCAGGTATTTCCTGATCAAGCCTATCCTGCACTGGGACTTCTATGAACCCACTCTCACTGGCCCCACTCTGGATAATTTACTTTTATCAATGCCCAGCCCACTACCACTAGCTACATCCTCATTCTCTAACTCATCCCTACCTATAATCTCTTTCCCTACTATCTCCTGGCTAGGAATAGGGCTAGTCCTAACATTAGTAGGGCTACCTGATCTATGGCTACTACCCCCCCTAAAGTCACTCCCTCAAGAGTTGTCTGTTCTCAACCAATCACCAAACTGTCCCAGATTAATAATGCTCCTACTAATGTCATCTTTTTTAGTCAAACAACTTTTGTCAGAATGACCTATTTTACCACAATAAAAGCAGAAGTGTTGAAGAGCCTCATACCTGAAGTCTACCCAGTGGCTTTCCTCCCCTCTTTTAATTTTTTTCCCCCTCAGTAAGGCCTCTTTCACCTTCCATTCCACCAACACTTTGATCATCTGCCCATTTACTCCCCCTGCAGTAGGTATTTGGACATCCAAGACTTTCCCCAACAACTTTCCAATTTTCATGCCTGTTTCTGTTGTGGCCCAATGCAATGGCAAGTTCTGAATTTGGACCCAGATCTTTATGACTTCCTCTTCCTCAGAGAACTCCGTACTTCCCGGTTGCCATTGCTTCAATAGTATATACTGTCCGTCAAAGGACCAAGTTTTACCTTTGAGGATTCGGTCTTTGTCTTCCTCCAATTGGAACAGGAATTGAAATTTAGTATCACCCAAGCTACGGATGGTAAACGGCTTCTTTGTAAACCATATGCCTTACAATGTCGCTTTAAGTCCACTGAAATTAGCTTTCCTTTCCCCATAGATTTTCCCAATCAAGCTTAACTGGCATTCTTTGAAACCCGGTGCTACATCCTCATCAGATAATTCGACCCCTTGCCCTTCTTTCACTGATAACTTGAACTTGGATAACTGATCTGAGATATCTGCATCCATCTGAGCCAACCACTATCCAGAGAAAAACCTACAAGGCAAAGACAAGGGTAACACCAAAGAGAACACCCAAAAGCACAAGAACATCACAGAGAAGGGCAAATACGAGATAAACAAACACGGCAAGGCTGAAAACCGACTACCCAAACCCTAAATCTACCCCCAAGCGAAAAGGAAACCAAAGAAAACTACAACAGACCAAACCCTAACTAGGAATGAAACCAAAATCTCACCCAAACAGAAAGAGAGACAATCTAGATCTAAACCCTAGGTTAAGAGGAAATCCCTGATGATTCGCACAACAGCCAAATCCAACATCGTGGAACCGAGCTCTCTAGAAAGAGAAAATATCCTAGAGTCTAAAAAATATCAACTTTGTACTCTAGATAAAAGTTATTATTAATGTGTTCTATAAAGTGTCTACAAGATGTATATAAATTATTAACACATTATCTCAATTCTTTTTACCCACAACTTCTCATGGCAACCCTACTTATTAGACGAAATATATACTATTAGATTACTCTTTTATTTCTAGGTCTCAGAGCTTTGACCATGTATTTGGGTCCTTGGGTTAATGTAATATATATCACATGTGCGCCTAAAAATTGGCGCTACATTTTCCTTCGGAAGCTCAAAGCTTTTCAAATATAATTACACAAACCTTGCACTTTGCCACTCGCTACTCGTCAAGGATAGACATCCTTTGTCTATCAAGTCAAGGAGACCACCAGGGAATACTTGAAAACAGACAACTGTAGCGAAGAATTATAGTTTTATTAAATCATTGAGTCGTCTCTCTTCCCAAGTCAAGACAGGAATCCTGACATGTTACACCTACTCAATTTTTAATTACATGTTTTCAGATAGGTGAAGAAACAAACAACAAGAACATCATATTTACAAGGGAGACCAAGAAAAATATTTTTTCTCCATGGATGGTTAGGTATATCAACAGTTAACTACATAGCGGTGAGGCAAATAGATAAAAGAAGGCTCAAGAACCACAGCGCCCTCCTCTCCTCAGCAATTCCTGCAAAGCCAGACAAACATCATAGAACCATGTAAATCGAAATACTTCACCAGAGGTTTGTATTTGTTTTGAGAATTATAGCCATTCAATAGATGTAATTTGTCAAATAGGAAGGGTTTGTTGAAAACTAGTCACCTCAGGAACAGTATTGATAATGATACCTCCAAAGAACAGTATGATGATGATGATGATGATGATGATGATGATGATGATGATGATGATGATGATGATGACAGTATGATGATGATTATGATGATGATGATGATGATGATGATGATGATGATGACAGTATGATGATGATGAAATGAAAAATAAAAGCCTGTACGATATTTTAGCATACCAGCTTGGTTGCAGCAACAGACTGCCGTTGCCTCTCCCTCTTCTCACGTTGGCACTCTCCACACCAGCTGGAAAAGTCCCTCTGGTACTTTCTCAGCTCTCTAAAAACCGAACTGTAGAAAAAAGAATTGCACAATAGTGAGAACTTGCATATAATTTATTTTTCTGATTCGGAATAGACATAGGCTATGTTGTTGGAATAGACATAGCAATCCTAGACTTTAAAGGGCATTATTAGTTACAAAACACAAATTCATTATAGAAATTTGAATAGGCCTGCACTGTAATATTCTTAGGTACACATCACAACCTGTGCACGGAACTTAATTCGAGGAAACATTTCACTCGAGCTTTACGTATAGAATACAAATTATTACATTGCAGGATCATATAGGTAGGCTTAGATAGTTCAGATACTCGGTTGAAGAATCTCGGTAGACAGCAAAACTTACGCACGCCACAAATTTAGGAAAATATTTCATTCCACTAGAACTAACAGATTCTATTTGCTTTTAGCTAATTGACATCCTATTACATTAATATACTAGGTAGGAAATAAAGTAGTATCAAAATACCTCATCAAAGAGATAACTTCCATGACACTGACATTGGTGATGGTCATAGCAAAGAATTGCTCTTACTGAATTTGAAATACATGTTCTTTAACTATAGATGTTTTGTACTTGAGGGTCCTGGGAAGGAGTGGAAACCCAAATCTACAAACCCCCATATTGGTCGAGGTGACACTACTGTAGTACTGTTGGTTCATATATCTATATATATATATAGAGAGAGAGAGAAAGAGAGAGAGAGAGAGAGAGAGAGAGAGAGAGAGCAAATGGAAGAGTGTTTTTACCTTCTACACCATAACAATAAGTTGACCCTATTGCCAGCTGTGGTGGCTCTGGCGCCATGTCTATGGCGACCACGGTGAAGAACTGCACGCCCCTGGACGTGCGAGTAATCAAAGATTTCCTACGGAAGCCAATACAAAGTCAAATTCATTGATCAAAAAATAACTTGAGCATAATATTACTAGGTTACACAATATTAATGCTTATCAGCTGGAAGACTTAACAATATATAGTCATATCCCAGGATAATAAGCAATAGATTGATCGATGTAAAGGAAAACTACTACCAGCGTAAAGATGAACAAAATGCAATGAAAACTACTCACCTCTGACTGTGTTTCCGTGTTTACATGCTTTTCACACCGTACACCACGGAAAAAAAGATCACCGCCGGAAAACTGTTTTCCCAAGCAGACATTCAAGGTGACTTCTGAGTCATCCACATGAAAACCTAACAAAGTTAAATTTTGTTAAAATCAAGACGGCGATCCCATGGATAATTAAGGATGTGATGACTGAGGAGATGAGAAAATAATAATTACATTTCAAGAGATGATCAAAGACATAAGGACATAAGAAATGCAAAATCAAGGGAAAGATAAGGGAGGGTGTGGCCACTCACCCAGGTCAATATCTCTATCCATCCCATACTCAAGGACGAAACCATGATGAGCATCAATCATATGACCACCAACCTCAGCAAAGAAAACTGCCACAAAAAATTCAATTGCAGCAGACTAATTAGACATGCACACGATTTGTAAACAAACACACAATAAAATGCAACCTCTAGACATCGGGCGGATAAAATCTTCCATGAGCTTATCAAGCATGGTTTCCATGCCAAAATCATCAAGAACCACGCCGTACTTATTCATCATATTGGGCCTCATGATCCTGAACTTCGTCTCATTTATCCATTTCTCAAAATTCTCAACCTGAGTAATCAACGAACGGTGAGAAAACACAAAAAGTCAAACTCCTTTAGATAATAAAAGGTCAAATGACTTAAGATAAAAAGTCAAACTACTTTAGATAATGAACTTAGGATGTTAAATAGTGAGTAAAATTTAAAAAAAAACCTCAGCCATCAACATTTCACAGAAACGTGGCTGCAGCATCTCAAACGTAAAAATCCCTGGTGCAGGCTCGGAGACTATGTTTCTGAATGCCTGTTCAGTGTTCTCGCTGATTGCCCTGAGGAATGAGTGGCGGAAAACGTCCTCCTCCTGCATAGTATACAGTTCCTTGTGCAAGCGCTGGGAAGAAAATAACAATTGAACTTTATTTAGAATAGTGAGTCTTTACAGAAGTTGCTCTTGTTGCTGTTTTATAAAACGATACCTGGTAGTTGGATATGATCTTCTGCCTGTACTCTCTGTGCTTCTGAAACTGCCAGAGTAGCCACAAAGCCTCAGTTGCATTGAATAAAAAGGAAATGTTTGCTTATAACCAATAATTTCTATTCTTCTGAGTTTACAATGGAAAGATCCACTCCCAGGAGGCAACAGTAATTCCGATTTACAACTCTAGAACAATTTCCTGTATACAAATTCTAGCTTGCACAAAATGCACATGTCAGAGGCAACATGCACAAATCATACCCACAAGTAATGCACAGTCCAAGCGGCACACAAGTAGAGTTAATCAAACATGCACAAATCACAATTTACACACATAAATACCACATTCTTCAAGGAACTTAAATACAAATACACTTTTAACATACAAAATATCCTTCAATTAAACCAATACATGCTGACCAGACGAAAATCAAGCTTATAGTTTGTCGGCATTATACCCTGAGGCGCTCGCTTTCGGGGTAGTAACGCAGGAGAATATCGCGCATGTAATTGACCTTCACATCACGCGCCTGGAGGAGGAGATTAGGCGGGAGGTACCTCTCCAGTGAGCTGAAGACTGATGAGGTGAAATCTAGCTGTAGATCCTCGTAATTATCGGGCTGATGATCCGAATTAGGGTTCAATCTCAGCCTGTGCGTCGGATATGTCGGCGGCGCCACGGAGGAGACGATCAGCTGACCTGCGCTGTTACCGTTGCCGTTAGCGAGCCCCGGATGGGCCCCACCGACTGGATCTGGTCTGCCATGAATGGATCCTGGTATGGATGTGCCGTCGTGATCCATCGGATAAAAGATATATCCTCTCTTGGGGTTTCTAGCATCAGATGTGAATTATTAGACGGATTAAGATGGTGGTGGAGAGGACGATGGAAAGCTTGGGTTGGGGTTGGATGTGTGTGGGTGTGAGAATTATGACATGGAACTTAGACCCACCCACATACGTGGCAAATAAATAGACTTAAGTCTATAATGACATGGATAAACTCAAGCTAAAAAGTCCAAAATTTCTCCAATGCAAAAACAAAGTACTAGGCCTAGAATATCTAACAAATAATAAATATATAGGGAAAAAAATACATCACCAATGTGTGCATGCCACATCAACCGTGGGCATATTAACATATGTCCACCGTGAGCATGTGAACATTTTCCTAAATATATAATAATAGTAAATGATTGCTATTGTAAGGTTCACACTTGTGTCCAAAATAGACCCAAGAGTAGACTTGGTCTCTTTTTTTTAGAGCATCTTCAATGCTTGGGTCTCTTGATCAAATCTCACATGCCATGTAAGTAAATAGACTTGGTCCATAAAAAAATGTCTCCCAATGTAATTAAGAGTAGACATGGTCTAGCTTATGTGACAATAATAAAAAAGAGACCAAGTCCATCCTTGGGTCTATTTTGGACCCAAGCACAAACCTGACTAGTCAGCAATTAATTTACAATTTTCATTTTTTTTAATAGAGAAAACAGATCATGAAATATTGGCGGGCAAATTTTTGTTTCTTTTGCGCAAAAACGGCGGGTTTCTCACATTTTTTTCTTCTGGAAAAAGTCTCCTTGTTCGCGGCTTCTCCTGGGCATAGAACAATCAAAGACAAATTTGAGAAAAATCGAACTCCCGTTCATATTCCCAGGTTTGATTATTTTTTTTTCCCAAAAAAATTATTATTAACAGTGTTTTTGTGTTTATTTCCAGAATTATTGTAATTTGTAATCTTCGTGGGGATGATCTTGGGATGAAACTGTATAATTTATATGTAACCTTGTGATGAGTTGTACATCATATGCGGACAACTGCAGACACATACACACACTAGTGTAGTATGCAAAGGAGAGTGGACCATTATGTTCCTTTTGTAATACCTTATAATTATAATTTTTACTTACTGAATTTTCTTGAATTTTATGTGGGGTTAAAAAAACAGAGAAGAATGAAGATATGCTTGTAAAATTGAGGTCAGTAGAAAGATTTGCTGGTTCTTGCACAAATTTATGAGATATATGAACTTTCTGTATTCACATTGTATTAGATACATGGGTATGAGAGGGACCAAATAAATTCGTGTGTATATTTAGTTTAGTATTATTGTTTACTATTTTTTTTTTCTTGCGGGGGTGTTGAATTTGCAATCTGATCTGGTATATATGGGAAAATCACTAATTTCCCTGTGTCATGAGACCCAAAACATGCTTGTCTACTATTATGTTCATTAGATATCCTAAAAAGCAATTCTGTATCACTTATCCACATCTTTAGTTGAACTGTATTTCTTTTACAGGCATTGGACAATGAATTCTCAAGAGGAGAATAACACGGTCATGTCGCAAATGGAAAAAGCTACAAAAATGAATGAAGCTAAAACATCACGTGAGATGGAAAATATATATAGTACGCCACAGGGTCTCAGGGGAATGGTTAATCCATTTGCTTATTTTACTCAAGGATTTCAACCGAACTTTGCATATAATCCAAACGATGCATCTACATCTCCCTTAGTCAGCCAAAAAAACGGAGTCAGCTTTTCATACCAACAATTATTAAATGCTCCCATGTATCCTGTCCAGCCGACACATACCTACCCAACACAATACGCTCACGCACCAAAAAAGGCTAAGACGAAGGACAACGATTTCATCATCTCTCAAACTCTTGAAAATGACAAATTCAACAAGAGTTGGAGCAAAAATGAAGATGTTGCATTGACGAAAGCTTGGCTTTATATTTCAGTTGATGCAGATGTTGGCAATAACCAAAAACTGTTATATTATGGAAACGAGTTTTTCCTGTTTAGAAAGAAAATATGGGAGCTGAGTGTAAAGAGAACCGAACGCAGATTAGCTTGCAACAACGTTGGAAAAAGATAAATCAGGCTGTTACCAAGTTCAGTTCATTCTACGAGAAGTTGGATAGGCTTCCAAAAAGTGGCACTAACTTAGATGATATGGTTAGTTTCTACACTTCATGTCATTCTAGTAAAGTATATATTTTCATTCTTTATTTGTATTTTTTGTTTATCCTTTATCATTCCTAATGTGTTACTCTAACAATGCATTTCAGAAGCGAGAAGCTGTTCGTATGTATAAAGAGTGCACTAGCAAAAAAGAATTCCAGTTCGAACATTGTTGGGAGACATTGAGAACAAATCCGAAGTGGTGCATGAAAAATATGAGAAAAAGAAATGAGTTCAGTGAAGATGTTGATCCCAGAGACAAGGGCATATCACCACTACATAGTATCCCAGATGATAGTCATGATGTGGACAAAATTGACGGGATTAACAAGACAGATGACATTGTGCGTCCCCAAGGGAGAAAAGCATCGAAGGAGAAAACCAATGAAGATGGTGGTGTGGTAGATGCTATAAAAGGTTTGCGTTCTACTTTTGAGAAAGAAATTGAGTTTAGAAAGGAGAGTAGCAAAAAGGAATTTGAATTTAAGCAGCACATAGCGAATCAAGAGATGGAAGTTAAGGTTGCTGCTGAAAAAAGAAAACTGAAAGACCAAGAACTCCGCGAAGAAGCTCAAAAGATAGAAGATAGGCGAAAGGAAAAAGAATTTCACCAAAAAGAGCTGCTTCAGAAGAAAGCTCAAAAGAGAGAAGAACAACTTCATATTATGAGCATCGATGTTTCCAAGCTTCCAGAAACTGTACAGAAAAGGATTGAAGAATGTCAGATGCAGATACTAAATGAATGGGAAACTGAGGGTCTTTTTGGAGAAAATGTTGTAAGTTCCATTATTTACTTTAATGTTTTGTGTTGTTTACTCGTTCTTCCATTTTTCTTCAGTTATAATTTTTACATTGGTGTTGGCATGTAGGAAAACAAACCATTGGCAGAAGCTTTGGCCAGAGAATCAGGCAATACTATAGAGACAGATTCAGACAATGAGTGAATGTTTTTTTTTTTGTTTCTTTTTAGCTTAATGCGTATTGGACTTGCAAATTAAGCTACTTAGTGTGTTAGTACATTTTTCTATTATTGTTTTTTTCTCAAATTCTTGATGATTGAGCATTGTTTGGATTTGGAATGATGGAAGACACATAACACTCATTTTCTACTGCTCGAGCATCTTTTTGCTGAATGAGGGAAGATGTTTATGTGTTTTATTACCTGGTGGCTCTAGTTTGATGAATGAGGGAATACTTGATATTTTTACTTTATGGCTCTAGTTTTAACAGCTGTAGCAGCTCCGATCTACCTCACATGCTCTGGATCTCTGCACCAACCATAATTTGATATTATATAACCAGCATATTAATTTTAGTTTGAGGAACAACAAAAATTGCACAATTTTCTATTTTGCCAACTAATGGTTTCATTCTAAAAATTGTGTTTTATATTTGAAGTCGTCTAATTATGTTCATTGAATTAGAACATATATCGAACAATGGACATGAAAAACAAAGGTGTATATTGAACTGTTGAGGAAACAATAGACCACGCTATTTTTGTCCAGGAAAACATTGAATATATTCCAATAGCACACTCTTTTTTGTTCTCTTTTCCCTCTTTGTTTGGTTCGTTCTTTTCTGTTAATATTTGTCAAAAACGTTTCCCACGGTCGAGCTCGACATGGCGTTGGCTCCCACATCCTCAAAATGGAGTTTCGGAACAAGATCCGCTGATTCTTGTTTGGAACCCNCTACCCCTGCAACCAAAGCTATCATCTTTGCTTTCCAACTGATCCCATTAACTTCAGTTATCCCATGTTAAATTCCTAATCCATTTTTAAGTTTATTACTACCTTGTCCCTCATTCATCAAATATGTCGTGCTTTGTGCAATCCATTTAATAAAAAAAGCAATATGTAGCTTGAATGACTTGATATCATATGTGAAATAAATATTTCCGTGCCATTTATATTTTTGTAGAGACTTTGCTTCAATAATATGATTATTGAGTTATGCCATAACCAATCTTTTATCATTACTTGATCTTGAGCAAAATATGTTAATTCTAAATAAGTATTCTACTACACATAAATACCTCCCCTCCAACCAGTAGCATGTAGCTCAAGTGTAATACAAAAAGCACATAAGTATCTTCCCTCCATAATCATACATAACTTAAGCAAGTAACATGCTGAAAGCATGTGAATGCTTACAGTATTCTTGCAGCTGCATTCAAGACATTGATTAAAGGTGCCTTGTAAATAAGATAATGTTAATCATAATCTACCAATATATTCCTGTGATCAAAGCTTCATAACTGTAAAAGAAAGTTCAAGGAGAAGCTTAAATTTTTAGCATAACAGAAAAACAGGAAATTTGATCATTGGCTTGACATTTTACTAAATGGCACATCTACTAATGACCTTTTTAATGATCTACTACTTCCTGAGGTCTAAGCAACACCACATTTACTGAAGTAACATAAATAACTCTTGTAATATACTCAAAATAAAAAATTTCATCAACAATATTCAACTCCTCAGACATTAAAGGGTCCAAGCATACACCATATGATGTAACCCTCTAGCACCTAAATAAGAATCACAATAATGTACGAGTAACATTGAAAAAGCATATCTGCTTACATTCAACAAGCTCATTAGATAGACCCTTTTTCTCCATACATATCCCATATATGAGTAATAAGATCACCTTTCAGATCATTGTGCAAATGTCTATCTTGGACTTTCTTTAATCGTCCAATCATTCTCGTTACAAGAAAATTATAATCATGCTCTCTGGTTACTCTTTCTGACGTTTCATTCTCAGGATCTTGCCAATTCTCAGAATCTATTCCCTGACTTTGTTCACTTTCAATTATCATGTTGTGTAGAATGATGCACGTTATCATGATTTTCTTAAGATCTTTTGGGTTCCACATACGTGCAGGGCCTTTTATAATATGCCATCTACTTTGCAATACTCCAAATGCTCTCTCGACATCCTTCCTCACAGCCTCATGATGCTTTGCAAATATCTTCTCCTTCATGCAAGATGGTTGAGAAATTGACTGAATTAAAGTAGCATATGCTGGGTAAATTCCATCCGAAAAATAGTAACCCATGTTATAGCTATGGCCATTTACAATAAAGTCACACGGCGGCGCCATTTCATTCATGATATCATCGAATAATGGAGAGTGGTCTAAAACTGAAATATCATTGTGCGTTCCAGCCATCCCGAAGAATGCATGCTAAATCCATAAGTTCTTTGAAGCAACAATCTCCAAAATTAAAGTAGGAACCCTTTTGAATCCATTAGTATGAGTTCCATGCCAAGCTGTAGGACAGTTTTTCCAATGCCAGTGCATGCAGTCCAAACTCCCAAGCATACCAGGAAATCCTCGAGCCTCACCTTCTTTGAGCAACAAATGAATATCGTTTTTATTTGGTTTCCTCAAATAGTACCCTCTAAAAATCTCAATTATAGCATCACAGAAATGTTTTAGACTCTCAATTGCAGTACTTTCTCCAATTTGAACATATTCATCAAGTGAATCAGCTGCACAACCATATGCAAGCATACGTAGGGCCGCTGTCATTTTTTGTAGAGGCCTAAGTCCATAATTACCAACGGCATCAATCTTTTGTGTGAAATAATTGTCAAACTTTTGAATGTCACCTAAAATACGTTCAAACAAGCTTCTATCCATTCGGAATCGGCGTCGAAAATGCTCAGGCGTATATTTTGATCTATCGCCGCTAAAGTAATCACTAATTATTAAATCATGTCATTCTTTTCTTTCACGTCGAATGTAACGTCTATTTAGCTTTTGATTTCCATGTATGTCTTTTGCCAACAAAAGAAAAACCTGAAGCGTGGTCTGAAGCATACTATGGTTCAGAGTTGTGTTTGGACAATCTTCGTTCATGGGTTCGTCCAGTAATTTTCTTGTAACCGAAAATTCATTGTCGCTTGAAGATGAGCCATTAGAGTCCGACTCATAGTTTAAGCTAGACATTATGTTTTCCTTTATTGCCTGAAAATAAAAAAGAACAATTATTGTGCCAACAAAATAGGAGGAGGAAACTCGAGTGCAAAATTAAAACATAATTCAAAACTAGTAAAAAGCACAAATCACTCAAAATTAAAGCATAATTCAAACTAACAAAAAGGACAAATTACTCAGAAGTCTCTAAAATTAACCAGAAAATATATCTCGAATTCATACCTAAATCTCCTAAGACGAATTATCACAAGCAACACTACTTATGTAATCTCTTCAAATAGATCACAATCTAGAAATAATACCACACAACCAATCAAAATCTCTTAACAGAACCAAGAACCAAACAAAAGAATCAGAAACAAGAAAATAACAACCTAGTATAACAAACAAAAGAATCAACGCTTTGAACAAAAACAAAAAAACAAAAAGATGTATGAATTTATACTGACTTGCACACAGACCCTCCTCCAATAGGCGATGTTGAACGAACTCGATTGGTTGAAGAAGAGAAAAGAACTTGTAGCGCGGCAGAAGAAAATGGCTGAAACAGATTTTTTTTTTATTTACGCGTATTTTTATTGGTTGATATATATTCTAGGGCTAGTGTTTTATTTTTGCACTGGGAAGCTTTTGGGTTTGTTTACTTGGGTTAATCCATGTCATTAAGTACTTAAGTCCAAATATATGCCACATGTGTAAAATTAGACCCAAGCATTGAAGATGCTTTATTGTCACATAAGCTAAACTAGGTCCACTTTTAATTGCATTGTGAAACATTTTTTTATAGACTAAGTCTATTTCCTACATGGCATGTGATTTTTTTTAAAGAGACCCAAAGCATTGTGGGTGCTCTTAATGGTATGTTTGGTTCAATTAAGGAAATGGAGGGGACGGATTTTAATGGAGGAAGGAGAAAGGAAGGGGAGGTGATATAAAGTAATTATAGAGAGGAGTTTGGGGAAATGGTAAACTTTGTTTCTTAAGAAAATAAAATCGAAGCCTTCCAAAAAAAATAAAAGGAAAAATAATGTTAAAATGACAAATATATCATTAATGATGTTAGAAATAAAGACTAAAATATTATATATAATAAGGGAAAAATAGTAATTGCATGTATTAAAATTTTCACTGCCCTCCAAATGTTGGATTTTCGACGTACGAACCCAGCGTACGCTTAGCGGAATTTTAAAATTTTCTTACCAACAATGAAGATCCGGTTATAGCTATTCGATATGATCCTAGATCGCGTGAATGATTAACGAAAACTTACCGTTGTTCGTCTATGTCTTCGACTATGGTATCCACGATGCACGATGTAACACTAGTGAATCCCTTCCGATGAAGAAGCTAGTAATCCTCAATTAGAAAGTCGGAGAGTGTTTTTATTTTATGATGTATCTTCTCTTCTTTTCATCTAATGATTGACAAAGACTACAATGAGATAATGACCTATTTATAATTAGGTCAAACCTAAATATATGGGCCTTAGGAATCCTATAGCCCAATAGGTAATTGGGCCTAATCAAGTATAAAAATCCAATTTAACTTATTAATATTTTCTATCAAATAGAAAATATCCTCGTTACTCATAAACGAATATTCCAATCTAATTGAATATTTAACACTCTCGATTCACTCTTAGTCGGAAAACTGATTGCATATTGTGTGACCCTACATGCCTTCATATAATGAGATATATCTAGTTTATGATCCTTACGAAACTCCTAGACTGCGTCGAAGGACGACCTCAAAATATGACGTACGTTCACATGGACAAAACAAACAAACATTTAGTGTAGAACTCAATAGTGATATGGTCCCTTTATTCACGAACCACTCGATTAAGCTTAGGACTTGAACGCGTGTCTATCCAAACAGCTTAATCATTTTATCTCATCTTACTGGTTGATTTATCAATTATATTTGAACATCATTTCAAATATAATCACGTGCATTGGCCAATGACTATATTAACCCAGTATAGAGAAAACGAGTGTTCTCTCAAAACTATATTCGGGGAATGAATCCTATCTTGGCTCAACT